AAACTACGCATCAAACAGATGGGAACAGGTAAGGAAACCTTACTGTGTGACACATCTACAGGTAGGGATCGCCCAATCGTGCCGAAACGCAATGTCTTCGACACATTGCACAAACATTCTCATCCAGGTGTTCGTGCAACCATCAAGCTTATAGCAGAACGGTTTTGCTGGCCTGGCATGAATAAAGACGTGAGGGAGTGGGCACGCTCCTGTGGAAGCTGCTAAAAATCTAAGGTCATCAGACACAATAAATGTCCCTTAGGCTCATTTAAAACTCCCGATGCTCGTTTCGACCATGTTCACCTGGATTTGGTAGGACCTTTACCAGATTCAAATGGATACTCTTACCTCTTAACCTTAGTAGACCGTTTCACTCGATGGCCAGAAGCAGTACCTATCAAGAACATCACTGTTGAAACAGTGGCCCGTCCCTTCGTCGAACGATGGGTATCGAACTTCGGCTGCCTTTCAACCACTACAGACCGCGGACGTCAGTTCGAATCCGAACGTTTCCGTCGTCTGACCACACTTTTAGGAATCACTTGCTTCCGAACGACCGCCTACCACCCACAAGCAAACGGGTTCTTAGAACGCTTTCACCGACAACTAAAAGCTTCACTATCAGCTGCAAACGTTTCACAGTGCACCGACGCTCTTCCACTTGTCTTATTAGGTATCCGCAATGCAGTGAAAGCTGACATTGGATACACTGCGGCTCAACTCGTTTATGGAACGACACTTCGACTTCCAGGAGAATTCGTGGATTCTTCATCCTCTTGAATGAACATGGATCTAACCTACTACACGAGCAGGCTTGTAGTGGCATTGGACCATAATCACACAATACTTGAAGCTGGCCACGAGACTACTCGGAAAATAGATATTCAATAATTAACGCGGAGAAATACCTAAGGATGGAAAAGGCGGGAGAAATGAGTTGAATGAATTGGAGTTGATCGTATGGCATGGCTCGGCCATGCAGGCGTGGTCCCTGCGGAGTATTACTTTATATCTTTTATTCATATTAAATATATTGTCCCTTCTCTAGCTTAAAGTTGTTCTTCATCATGTATTGGTAGTTGTTACGATACGATGAGTTGGTGTAGACGATGATGTGACTTCTACGTAAGATCTTATAGATTAGGCAGTTATATCATGACAAATCTACAAGTTTAGGATTACGTCTATTATTATCACAGCACTAATATCATAGTAGACCATAATTCTACAGGCTTACAAACGCAATGCGTTAAGTTAAACCTGTTTCCACTCGACCTTAATCAACTGATGTTTTCGTTCAACCTGACTTACGACATAGTACACACATCTTCGTACGTCGAAACTCACATCGACGACCTTCCAAATCAGCATACGAATGACCTTTCAAAGTTCTTTAACGCGAACCGAAGTAACATATAATCGAGGAGGACGGAACCAACGATAGCATCAGCATCGATCGCCTCAAAGCAGCGTATTTAGAAAGGAATCCTATCCACGTCGATTTTCCTTCGGTACAATCGAACGACACGACACCGACAATTATAATACCTCATCCGACAACCAACACACACGATGCTACTTCGACAGTATCTGAAAATAAACTTAAAACAACGCGTTCTGGGAGAAGAGTAAGATTTGCAGAACGTTTAAATGACTATTGTACGTAAGACACTAGTTAATATTTGTTTCATCTCGATTTTCCATGGCATTATATATAATATTTAAAAAATTTTAATATGCTTATATTTTTATATATTTATCATTTGGCTGACATGTATATTAAAAACATTTTTAAAAAATTTGTAAAAATCGTTTTTACGATATTAATCTTTTTTTCGACATTGGGTGCTGACCACACGTTTTAATGGACTCACCTAGCTGAAGACGCTCGGTCATGCAACCGCACCAGATTACGTGTGGGAATGCCGTGCTCAACATCTCCTGCAATCGCTAACCAGATTAGATCAGAGAATTCCGATATATTGGTAATCGCCAAATACACTCTTCCGATCTCCTCGACTCTGTCTTTTGATTTCTCTTGGTGGGCACAAATTATATTAGAAGGTGTTGCTGGTAAAAGCGCTGTCGAACACTGAATATCTGTGCCATCTTCAGTAATTCAGTAGGCTACGTTGAAATCGGTCAAACAGTAGTCTTATATGATTTGGTTTTTCCCCTGGAAATGAAACATTCTACGGATGAAAAAGGCGTACCCTAAACTTTTGGGGTCATTTACGTATGTGAATGAGTGCACAAGAATTTCGCGATTCGGTTAGCCAATAAAAAGCTTGTCTTCAGGGCCTGTGGGGTTCAATTGACCTCCAGAGAAATCCACCACGAAGTTGAGTCTTTTCCAATCACACGACTTATCACTTCTTAACTGAACTGCTTTTTCAGACATGATAGTCTCAGTGTTCATTTTATTTCGAATACCACAGGGATTGTTTGGAAATTACGTGAACAAAAAGTATGAAAATTCAGTATTTGGCAATAAATGTTAGACTGGTGAATAGCGATCTTGACAGATATCACGACAACGAACATTGAAAGGTGAACTAGCAGAATGTATCACGATCTACACAGTCGTTCATGTAAGCGCTGTTAACAACAACAATACACCTACTCAGAGTACAAATATATTAACTACTACCTATACTAGATCAAAATCCTACATTGGTGAGCACGGCTAACGATGCCAAAAGTGTTGTCAACTGTCATATTTATTACCAATTTATCAATTGGCTTTTATTCACCTTAACGTGTTATTTTATCAGTCTGTTGATTAATGTTCACGTACACTGTCTTACTGTTACGTCGATTAGTATCCAAGTTCAGCTTATTAGGTTGGTCAGTACAGATACTATAGTTCAACAGGAGGATTTATTGACATTTATATGCTATAGCGAAATTGGTTTGTTGAAATATCAACCTCTGGCAAATATCTCTCCAAGTAGTAGTCAAGTCAGATAGGATGGTGACTAATTTTAACGAAGACTAATCAGCTGTCTGGAATTAGTGCCTCGTCTTGTTTCTTCGCTATACATTTTACTCTGTTTAGGATTATGGACAGTCTTCTGACATATTTTCTTTCAGTCACGGCCAGCCTGATTTCCAGGCTTGTATAGTTGCAGAATTATTTTATTTAATAATAATAATAATATATATATTTCTGCATGCGCAGACGTCACTTGTTTGACTTCTTTTTGGATTTGTACTGAATCAATCAGGCTACAAAAACAACAATATCATGTAAATCAAGGAACTAGTGTTGATAAACTGAATCTGCTCCGATTTCTTTCATGTTTATACTCTTTTTCACAATTGGCCCAGCTCAATCCACGTCTGCTGGATACTTTTTATTCACGAAACTATCCGGAAGTGCATTACAATTTCGCTAAATTATCCACCATGTTTATGTTACTATATAACAATTATTTTAACCTTGACCGGTTATGTTGTGAACTAGAAATATCACTCACGAGTCTGTCACTGACTTTACATATATATGGATTTAAACTTAAGATCGAAACCCGCCCTTTCCTGTGTGCTACTTGAATAATAGGTTCAGTCTAATATTGTCGCACGATGTGACGTCCAGCACATTTGGTCTTACTCCGAAGTACCATCATTGATGTATTGACGTGCATCTACGTGGAAGCTAGATGTTATGTTCGTAGAAACCTCAGTTTCTTTTTGTCAGGTAACAACCTTTATCTGTAGTTAGGTACTGAGATTAGCAGTGGTCTAACTAATCTAGATACTGACAATGTCCTGTGTGGAGATGCACCGAATACTCAGGAGTTGGCAATGCAGTTGTCCGTAACACCTTTATAGGCTAACGATACTAATCCAGTCAAATCACAAGTCAGGGACTTTATTGAGTCCGAAGATATATTCGGAAAGTTTCCGAAGTGCTGAAAGACGTTTGATTTAAGCTGGTGAGTAATGGCAAGATGTGTTTACCACCCTATACCCTCTCGTAAACCAGCGTGAATAGTTGACCTAGTGCCTTCAGCTAAGGTGTGTCCAGTAAAACTGATGTAGTCAGCATCAGTGCAGAGGACTTACGGAACTATTTACTTGTGAGTTTGTTTGTCTCTACAGTTTAATATAGTCACTGATGGTTTTCAACATTTTAGCATTGAAAACACCATTATCTTTTTCTTTGTTCTGATTAGATACGCGACGACACGCCTGATAAGTCTTGTCGATCAAACGCTATATTCGTTTTCCTAAGCTATTCTGGTAACCCGCAGACTAGAACTACATAGCGACTTGAACACCAGAGAGAAGACGCAAGTATGAGAGAAAATACTTTATCTCAAGCTTCATTCTTGTACAGAAAAACATGGGTATTTATAGATGCTAACGTTTGTTAAGCCAACATCATAATTCAGCCAATCCGTTAGCGATATACTATGCTACTGACCAGTAGTAGCATGCCACGTTGGAATTCTAGAATGCTCCATCGTGCTGCGATTGGCTAGGACTCTTCGGCTCCTTTTAGGCCTCTGGAGGCTCCGATAATGTTCTCCGAAAGCCGACTCAACAATGCCGAATAGCATTTAGGTAAATCGGTGAGCATTCTTTGCGCCTTTGCATACACATGCACACATGGTGATGTTCAGAATTATGTTCTGCGTCGTTATTAGTATTATTTTAATGATAAACCCAACCCTAAAATTGTACATTTGTCATGATATGACTATCAAATCTATAAGGTCTTACGTGGAAGTCATGCCGTATCATGCAAAATATTGATACCAAAACAATTTTGTACTTTCTTTTTAAAATGTTCTCACGCTTATTTCCGTTTACAGTCAGAAAGCTGTAATAATCATTGAATCAATTGAGCTGTAATTTACATGAGACTTATAGCCTAATGCAAACGTTACTTTCACTTCAACATAACCTTGGGAAGACTTTTCAAATAAGTTGGAATATATCGCGGAAGAATGCAAATCTAAATATCTGAAATGATTAACAGAAGACAGTTCAAATCATAATTTTACACCATCATCACTATTGTCATTTTTCGAATACATTAATTTGCCACCATTTTTACAGTTTAAACTGGATTCACGTGTAGGTGGGGACTATACTTATGAATTTATTTTTGTGAATAGTTATCTTCACTAGTTATTATCATTATTTATTTATTTGAATGTCATGAGTGAGCATTTTAATTTCAGCGTGAGAGTCTATTTTACCTTGTAGCAAGGTTTCCTAGTCGAAGTGTGGCCGAATGAATGTTACAAACATGAGTTTAGGGAGTGGTCTGCATAGGAAAGCAATATAACCACAGTTGTCTGCTTACATCATGCTTAGCTATGAAGAGTCACGAGGAAGCAGAATGCTTCACCTTACAGACACGAAGGAATAACGTTATTTCCTTAACATGTTTTCTTGTCAGTTGCTCCATTTTTCCTTTAGGGATGTCGAGTCCTTCCACGATTATGACATAATTTAACAGTTTTATCCTAGGCTCTATGTTGGACACTTTTTCGGAATTCACTGCTTTTACAAGCGTCATGTCACGAATGAATCAAAAGGCCAGAGCATCTGTATTGAGGGCTAGGTATCTATATAGTACGTCACACCACCTAAGTGTCAATGGTATAAATTACGAGGTTCTGGTAAGATAATAGATAATTTGGAGAGAGTGGGAGTAGATATCTCATCAAAGGGTGCAGAGTCAAAAAATATTTGTTGAGGTGATCCGGCGAATTTCTTGCAAAAGACAAGCAAGGATCAGGAGACACTAAGAAGCGTTTCATCCAGTCAGTGTTCACTTGAAGTTTTAGCCAAAAATATCAAGGAAGTGAAACGTCACATGCAGAGGTTCTGATTGACTAATTTCTACACTGCTTCAATGTTTAGTGGCATTCCAGAATCCTCTAGCAATCCAAAGACCTTTAAAATATTATAAAAAACCTTTATTTTGTGTATTGAAATGAACATTGAAGTAAAGTACTTCTCGCATACTTTGCATCTTCTCTCTCTTGTTCAGATCGCTGTATAGTTCTAGCTTGGGGTTTAGAGAATAGCATAGGAACCGAATATAGCGTTCAATCCGCAAGACTTATCAATATTTGAGAAAATGTGTAAGTGGGAAAACAAAAGACCCTTGAATGTCTATAAGATCAGAACATTAAAATTGTTGAACTGGTAGATCATAACAAGAAGGAGCTCACAATAGTTCGAGCTAGTTTGAATTTCATGTTATAAACCATAGTTAAGTGGCATCCATAAGTTTTTTCTATTTGAAACGAATATCTAGAAGCAAACATGTAGACTCCCGGAATAAAATAAACCTTAGGCGCTAATAAAACTGTAATTGATGAGAGATAAGATTGTAAGGTCATGAATCACCATGACTAGTAGGGTGCGGAAAATTATTCGTTTCATTATTTATTTTTGTACATATGAATGACAGTGGGAGTAGGTTGTGTTCATGACGGATCACTAATTCTTAAGATAAATCCATATTTTAGGTGGCTCACCCAGCAGTGCATCAAAGTTGGATGGAAGTTCTCAGAGTAGTTGACAAAGCCCTTAAGAGTTCAAGAACAGGGTCATCAGTCTCTTAAAGTTGATGATGGCGTCCCACGTAAATATACACAATGACAGCATGTTCTACATTAAACCATTCCTCACTGTGAAAGGCATACGACTCGTTGGAACTTGATATTTTATGGTTAACATTGTGGGTGTATTGTTTTCTGGTCTACTATAGTGGTCATATATTGCGACTGAGAGGGAAATGTTCTGTAAGTTTTGGGCTCTCTGTACAATTATCATCTACATCGTGTATTGAGAAGGGTGTCTGAATTTTACATTTTTCTAAGTAAAGTAGGAGTTCATCCACTCTGTAACGCATGATTTCATGCATTCTATGCCATTTCTTACTCCAGACATATAGGTTGTCAGGGTCAGAATGAACGTGCGTTATACTTTCTCATAAAGCTTCAGCCATAAAGCTGTACACTACTTTGGAATCATTAGTATGTAACTATTGTCCAACATATTTCATGGTTTCGCATCCATCGTCTGAATACACGAGAAACAAGAGAGTATCCAATATACTTCTAGGATAACTATTTGTTTATATTTGGTTGGTTAAGGATTAAACCATGGATTTAGTGAGTTACTGGTTCCAAAGGACTTTCAATCAGGAGGAAACCTTTGATTTTGGACCTTTTCAGATGCGCTCTTGAGAGTGAAGAACGGTAATGATGCAGAGAGCTTGTTGTCACGTTGTCGAAATGACATAGATCTGTCAACATTTATAACATTTTGCCCCTTTCAAGCTGAAACTTGTTCTTCAGAAATGTTAAACGTCATATTGCTGACCGTCACGATAGGATGAGTCAATGTAGGGAAGAATTTGTATCATCTCTAACAAGTTGATCTTATCTATAAACTGATGTAAATCAAGTAACATATTGCTATTTGAGAGTAAATTATTACTATTTGACGGGAGATACAGTTTTCACTGTAGTGGGTTACTCAGTTGGTTTGATATTTTATAAGGTATATTGATCGTAAAAGTATGGGGGATAATATTTCTCACATATGAATGCAAATAATATTCGTAAGATCCGTATTGTCGATACGACAGTTGAGGCGCTTTATGAAGGTTGCGTTGCGAATTGCAACTGATAGTCGGGAGTAAGTCCACGTAAATTTGAGGGCTTCTGAAAATCCGTGACCTTATATAATTATGGAACATCAGGAGCGTTAATGATGGCGCAGGACGAAGTCATCCGTCTCATATGCGCTGTCGGTGGCAAGTCTTGAGAGGGCTAAGAAAAAGGGTAAGTAAAGAAAATATTGAGCAACTCACGATGACTTAGGAGATTATGAGTCATCGTTGATCAGCATCCGTAAGTTTTGCCGGTTATCCGTTTACCTGTAACAGGAAAAAATGAAATGATACTGAGGAAGAATAATGTAACTTTAACGTTAGAGAGATTCGAAATCTAAAGGCGAGGTGTAGGAGCATAGGGGCATGACTAATAATCAATGAATAATGATAGAGGGCAGACCATGTGTTTTAGCATTTAGTTATGTTCACATGAATGGCAATGGGGTTTCGTCAAATTGAAGTTATCTCCCCACTCATGTTTCTGGTCAACACCACCACCAGCCCTCCTTTTGTGATGTTGGGCTCTCTTTCGTGTGGCACAAGTACGAATATTGCTTTAATTGAAAACCCGCATTGGACCACACTGTTCTCTACTAGTTTCATGTTACAAGCTCGTCAGATGATTAAGCATTTGTATTATGGTTTAGACATCCATTTAGTACATCACACTTCTATGAAGATAATGGACCTTGTTTGCATAAACCATTATTAAATACACTGATATTCAATGGGTGACACAATCCACTTTCAGAAGAAGATCATTAAGTAGACTTCTGAACCGGCTTGTGGTTTCACTGCAACGGAGTTCACTGGTGGACTGTTCGACATGGTTGAGTCGCTAATCAGGAAAAAATTCTGGCGTAAGTTGTGTAGGTTTTTGGAATCGCTAGAATCTCTTCCTTATTGAGTAGATTGTGGGATAATATCATGGAATTTTGGAGGAATGAATACC